CCCGCATTGGTCGCCAGCACATTGTTCTCGGAACCGAGGCCGACAACCGCGTGACAATCAGCAACTCCTTCATCAACGGTGAATCCGACTGGTCTGCTACCTGCGACGGATACCACTACTGGGGTGTCTACCTCGATGGATCTAGCGACATGGTTACCATGAAGGGCAACCACATCTACAAGACTAGCGGTCGTAGCCCTAAGGTCCAGGGCAACACTCTGTTGCACGCCGTCAACAACTACTGGCAGGATAACTCCGGCCACGCCTTTGAGATCGGCGAGGGTGGCTATGTCCTTGCTGAAGGAAACGTTTTCCAGAACATCGCTGCTGTCGTTGAGGACCCCATCGAGGGCCAGGCATTCGCTTCTCCTTCCGAGTCTGCAAACGAGGCTTGCTCCAACTACCTTGGCCGTGTTTGTGAGGTGAACGGATTCGGTAGCTCTGGCACCTTCGACCAAGCCGACACTGATCTCCTCAGCAAGTTCGATGGCCAGACGGTCGCCGCTGCTACTGCTTACGGTGATGTTGCCTCCAGCGTGTCTTCTTCTGCTGGACAGGGAAAACTCTAGATTCCCTGACCTGAACCATATTTGAACCGCCTGCCGCCCACCAGCACGTTTCTGTTGGGAGTCGAGAAGAGGGGATCGTTCAATATTGTATTTATTCACCTTTTAATTGCCATTCTACCGTTTACGGGTCGTTGTACTCGGTTTCAATACGTAATAGCGTGTCATTGACTCATTAGGAAACTAATCGAGGAGAACCATCTCGTCGTAGTGATACATCTAACAATACAAAACCACTCATTCAATGATGAACATGGCCGGTCCATAGACCGTCGATTGAGCGACCGCAGCCGCATTGGCGAAGGGTCCCCTGCGATTGACAACCGCCACAACCGTCAGACCGTTGAGCAGGAACTCGTCGTACGGAAGAGTGGCGACAGCAGTGGATTTGGCACCAACGCAAGAAATAACCTGCACTGGAACGACCACGGGTACGTTAAGCTGATTGATGTAGGCGAGCCATAGAAGGCCGTCCTTCTTGTCATCGGGTCCGTGGGTCCATGAGATCTCGATCCTGTGTGTCCGAGCCTCAGGTCGGGTCACGACCTCCAAAGGCAGGAATGTTCGCAGCTTGATGTCACCGATGTTAGGACAGCTTCCAGGGAGGACGAAGCTTTGAGCCCAGGTGAAAGCAAGGTTAACATCGCTTGTTGTCATAGTCGGAAGCTCACTGGGGTACTTGTCCTGGAACACCCTGAGCCATCCGTGTTGAGAACCCTTGTTGCCGACAATGCTTGTAGCCATCCTGACGAGGGCAGCATCACCGCTGGCTGCAAATCGTTCCGAGATGTCTTGAAGAGTTGCAATAGAGTGCGACGTGAAGGTTGTAGCCAATGCGATGGCTTCGTTGAGGGTTGTGACAGGGAAGATATACTGGCATGGCTCGATAGGCTTAATGCCGAAGTGACCTAGAGCATCATTGGCAGCCAAGGCGTGCACTTGCTCTTGCTAGCTACAAGTTAGCACTCACTGAGTCTTTTTGTTGCTAGGACGACCTACCGCGATAATTGTTTGCAGGCTCCGCAGGGCAAACTCTCGATCAACGTCGGTGGCGAAGCCGTAGCCCTCGACATTGCGGGTTATATTTCCAACAAGCTCATGGAAAAAGGCAACCTCGACAAACTCATGGAAGGCGAGGAGCTGTAAGTTGCTCGCACCTGTAGTGCTGATATTGGTGGTGGGCAGAGGAAGCCCTGGAAGGGTTCCATGGGCATCTTGCTCGATCTTCTGAAGCTGCTCTGGGCTCGGGAAGGGCATACCATCAGGGAGAAGGGGCGCTGCCTCGATGTCCGCGTCGGACCACTCTGTTGGGGCCCCCAGCGCGAGTGGGATGGTGGGGATCAAAGCTAGAAGCTTGGAAGAGAAATGCATTTTGAAGACGGAGTAACGATGCTGAGTGTTGAAATGGGATACAGTATGGATGGCAATGTGGACGGATAGTTTGGATGATGGAGAGTAGGTGCAGAAGCGAAGGAGAAAGATGAAAGAAGCGGGGGACAACGGGGTCTTTTATGATGGCGAACAGGCCCTGAGTGCTCTTTCCCGTTCGGGCTTGCATCTGTCAGTTCTGGAGGCAGGCACTCTGTCGGAGCAGAAGCTGCTGATAGCCTGTAGAGGGAAGGAGCACTCGACAACGGGAGTGACTCGGATGGGTCCCTGCCCTAAAAAATAATCATACAACGCTCTCAAAAAATAACCCATAGCACGATAGACACACGGCTTGGAAGTAAACAACCATCACACCAATCAATCACAAATGGTATTGAGATAAGTACTTAGTCTATAATAATGTTCACCGAATCAACAACGAAGACAGTCCGCCCAAAGTAGAAACTCCCATGAAGAACCACCATACCACACGGAAACCACTCAGAAACACATGGCCCAGCTCCTCCCTATTGTCCTGAGACAGCTTAATCTCATCCTTCCAGGCAAGTGATCCCGAGGGCTCGGCAGGGTTCTGGTGGAGCTCCTTCGCCATCTGTGTCAAGACAACACACCCACCGACAGGAATGGCAATGCACATACCCCACGTTCGAAGAACAGAGTACATTACCATCGCGAAGGCAGGGCTGCTACTTCTATCTCCTAGTATCGGTTTCCGGGTGTCTTGTTCTTTGCGTTTGTGAATGGGCGATTCGAGGTTTGAGCATATGTTGTGCCCGGAGATCAGAAGCGCGTGGCTCACACCAGCAGCGGAGAGGATGAATACCCAGCCAGGTGTTGGAGTATTGGCAGTTAGAAGCATAAAGCATCCTGAAGATAGCAGGTTCAATACCCAGCCGGCACGAATGATCCAACGTGGGCGAAAAGGGTATCTGCCACCCCACATCTTTGCCGTAAGGAAAAGCACGGGGAGTGCAGGGGCGGTGATGGCGATGATGCTTACCCCCGTAAGAGTTGGGGAGGATATTTTGACAAGAAACACGTACATGGAAAGATAATGTAGGTGCCAGAGTACCTTTTTTAATAACTATCGTCAGCAAGCCCCTACCAATATTTTGAATGAGATTGGCCTTACCAGAATGCCGTGCAGCAAACAGCCAATGTACAGCATGATTGTTGATATAGAGCTGAATATCCCAAGGTTGAACATCGGATGAGATACCAAAATACTCTCATAGAGGAGTAAGCAGACCATCACAACCCCACCGACACAGCTAGAGACCAATATGCGCCAGTCATTCCATTCTATCGGCGGCCGCCCTATCCAACTGATACCAGCCAAAAGCGACCCAATCCCAATAGACGTCAAGACAGCCCCTATCCAGTCCATTTCATACATCGCACGTCTATAAATGATATTGCAGTCACGCAAGTCAATCGCGAATGGAGCGACAAGCAGACTCAATGCGCAGAAAACGTAGCTGAAATAGAATGTCCAATTCCAGTTTCCGTATTGACCAAAAAAGCCCCCAGAAACCGGCCCAAGCATGGCCCCAAATGCCCATGCTCGACATATGTGATCGGAAAATCGGACGCGATGTGGGTATGGAATTAAATCGGTCACCAGCAGCAGCGAAACAGCCATGGCACCCCCGTTGCCCATCCCCTGAAATAATCGGCCAGCGACTAGACTCGGCATGTCCAATGAGCCGCTACAAACTCCGGTCCCAGCTGTGGTTATCACGACGGCGGCGATGAGGGTCGGCCCCTGACCGAAAACTTCGGACAGCATGGCGAAAAGTGGCTTGCTTGCTGCACTGGCGAGAAAGTACGACGTGTCGATCCAGAGTACGCTCCGGAGTGGTTGTTTGAACACGGCAGACAGGACCTAGAAATCGAACAATGCGTGTTGAGATCTCTGCTGACTGGGGAAATAAAAGGCGTCTAAACTTACCGGTATAATGGGCACCATCATCGTCGCATCGAATGCATCCAGCATGGCGACTAGCGAGACGCAGCTCAAAACAAGCCATTCCTTAACCCTAGGCTTCCAAAAGTTGGTCTCTAAGTCCTCAGACGATTCAGAAAACGAGGGGTGCTGCAGAAAAATGCCTCCAGCGAGATTTTCCGTGCTGGTATTTTGGTGCAACTGTGCCCTGAACCCGTCATCGGCATGACCGATTTCGATGATTCCTGCCCTCATCCAGCAGAAAGCCCACCAAAATATCGGAGTGGCTTATTTCATTTGAGGGGGCGCCTTTCGGGCGAGAAAAGCCTGATCACAGCTTCAAGGAACTCTGGCCAGGACGCCGAAGCTAAATGAATCATACAGCACCAGCTAGCCCGCTTTGAATACCCAGATGCACGCACTCATGGTGCTTGAGCAACCAAACGGAGTCGGAAATTTATGCAGGTAAGGGAGAAAGAATATACCGGCCATAATCGGGTGATCATTCGGTAGGGTTGGCCAAGCGTGACTGCTAAGCATTCCAGTCACGCTGGGCGTCGCGCACACCCCCAATATCAGCAATGCTATTCGCCGTTGTAAGCGTCTGGTATGCGAGCACAGGCGCGGATAGCAACATCATGTCGGGGGTCTTGCATGTAGAACAGGCACATTGGATACGTAACAGCCTAACAGGGGCAATGGGGAAGTTTCTCGGATAATTTTTACCAAAAAAAAGGAATGCAGCTGTGAGATCTGTTGAGAAATGGAACCCCAAAGTCCAATTACGTATTTCCAATTATTTCTTGCCCCTAGCCTGCACATGGTCAGTACAATGATACGTCTGATAGAAAGGCCAGTTTCAAAAAACGGAACTGCAATATGGTATATTCTTGAATGGCTTGACTGTCTATGTCCAACAATGTCTTTGCTATGTATACACCTTCAGTCGAGCTTGTGACGCTCCGTAGTAGCTCTTGATGGTGCTCTCGACGGTGCTCTTGATACGTCTGCCGCCGATAAACTGCTTTGACGAGTGCTCAGGGCGTGGAAGGAGAAATCGAGCTCGCCGACAAGGGTTCTTACGTCCCTGTGATACATTATTAGAGAAGTCTCCTCGACCAGAACGTCATTTTAACATACTTCATAAGTCTCTCAACATCGCCAACGATGCAGCGAGTGGAGATCTGTAGCACCGAAAATGTGGCAAAACCCGGCTCAGCTATGTGCCTGAGACTCAAGATATCCTTATCCAACTGCTCCAGTCGTTTTGAAAAGCTGTAGGGCTTTGGTGTTCTCAAGTAAGGGGGTAGGGGTTGCTGGTTCGTAAGGCTGGCAGACAGAAGACATAGCACCGATGTTATTTGGTGCGTTGTGACTCGTGCGCTGGCTATCAGCCTCTTAAGATTATGGATCCATGCGTCGTCGGTTTCGTCATCATTCCCTAGGTGTTTCAGAGAGTCCGAGGCATAGCCCAAAAGACTTAGATAGTTGACAATGCTGGGCACAGATTAGCTCACGGGGCCTCTATAAGAGGACTAGATGGGAAGCATACTTTTCAATACAGGTTATAATCCTGTCATATTGTTGTTTTGGAAACTTCCCTCCAATGGGCACCTCCCACTTAAGAAACTCCGAGTAAGTACGGAGGCTGCTCAACATGATCATCTGTTTAGAAAACACCTTGTTCCGCGCTTTCAGAAGCCGTTTTCCTGACGCAGTTTTGAGGGCCATTTCGCCTTCGTCCCCTCGCATTCGAGCAGTCACTGTTTCGTGAATAATAGAGTAATAGTTGGCAAGAAGGTACAAGCTCGACCCCAAGTTTTGCCGCAGGACCGAATGTTCCGAGATAGGATAAGGGAAAAAAGTCCAAAAGAAGGCGACCGCAATACCCCCTACTACCACTGCAAGCCGGTAAGGGGCTAGAAGGTAGATGGGATAGTACGTCTGGCCGTTTGCGCTGACGTTCTGCTCTCCGATTTTGCGCGCCTGGAGTTCATATCCCACTATCATTGCGGTGGAGATAACAGTGATAATCCCCGCAGTTCGGAACCGGAACTGCTTAACTGGTATGTAAAATGCGGCAGACATAAAAATGAAGAGAAAAACGAGGACGCCGGGTGTCCTCGTTCCCGGAATATACCAGCATAACAAGCTAAGTGTCATCGCCAATATGGTTCCCAAAATACGGAGCGCAAATCCGAAAATGCTTTGGCCAGATGTCGGAGACATGGCCAAATTGACCATGATAATAGCCCAGACGAACCGCTGCCTGATGAAAAATTCCTGGGTATCTCGAATGAAATAAACAACCGCGATAGTCATGGTACCACATGCAACACGGAACCCATAGGACGACTCCTTTGAGCGCAGCATCGCTGGTATCCGGCGGATTTTATCGCCGATCATCTGGAACGTCGTCTCCGGCGGTAGATGCTCCGGATCCTTCCTGATTCTGTACGCCTCGCCTAGTTCAAGCACGCCATTATGCGAATTCACATCGCCCAAATGATCCTCGCCATGAGTATCAGCGGTCTTGAAAATACTGATGGCCCACTTGCGAAGACGTTTACCACCGGGGATAATTATTCGCGTTTTCGAGAGCTTTCCGCTATCTACCTTTTCATCGGCATACCGGACAAAATCAAGGACCATGTGGCCTGTAGAAGCCAGCAGTTGCTCCATCTACAAACAAATCATCAGTATGATATAACGGGTCGAGGATTTTGGTACAAACATAAAGGATTAGATAAAGTTGCCTCCGAGCTCGGTCTCTATTAATAGAGCCGTCTTGGGGCAAATCTTCCATCTCCAGATGCGCAGTGGCGGGGTGCTCGAAAAAGTCTGGAGGTAGAGTGATGCCCTTCTCCTCACTCCATGCTCGCAGTGCTAGTCGCTTAGCTACTTTGAACTCGGAGAGCTTCCTCTCGAAAGGAACTCTAAATTCTCTGTCCCCAGGAACTCGAGTCGCCGATGCTTCGGGATCTGAAGCAGAGCTAGCATTTTTTGATTGCTTTTCGAACTTCAAGGTCAAGGCAACATGTTGCAATCCCTCGTCGATAGTTTTTATCATAGAGACGAATGGATCATGAACCGCCCTCATAATCTCATGCCACTCGCGCACTGCCTGGTCGCGAAGGTCCTCTGATACGGCCGCTGTAGGATCGATGGGTTCATTCCATTTGTTGTATTCTGATAGTCGCTCAAAAATATCAACAACGAAGCCAAGTCCAACCACGGGTATCATCGTCTGACGGAGATGTCGAAAAATTGACTGGAGGTCATCTGGGCCTAACTGGCCTATTGCAACCTCCCGCTTTGCGAAAATCAAATCGCCGCTCAACTTTCCATGAAGCTCCGTTATCTTTCGTACAGCTTTCCGGATATTCGCCGCTTCCGGTGTATACACCTTGCCATGTTCATCAATCTTCTCCACGTTCGAATCGTAGGTTGCCGTCCGTCCAAACACATCATCAGTCTGTAAGGACTGAAAATAAGCCGTATGAGCCTGCATAGCAGCCCGTAGAGCATTTATATAGCCTCCCATCTGTTTGAAAACCACAGTTCGACAAGATAGTGGGAAAATGAAAAGCGAAACCCCAGTACAAAGCCCCAGTCCTAATAAGCCCCCTGCGAGCAATCGACGGATCATAGATATCGCTGCAGGCAAGGTGGATAGAAGGGGTGCAAAAGAAAAGGCGACATTAGCAACGATAGAGTAGATGATGACAGGGAACTGGAATTGTTGAAATTTGGCCCTGAATGAATGGACAAGATATGTCTGAAAGAATAAGAATACTCCACTAGTTACCGACGAGGACGAATTGTACGGCGGAAACTCCGAGCTATCCGATGATGCCTGGTTTGAACTACTGGTCGAGTGTTCGCGTGCCTTGACCTGTGAATACATCATCAGGAGAGAAACCGCGGACGCTAGGCAGACAGCTAATATATCGAGCAGCATCATTTGCAGGAATTTGGCACGGGGCATGATGGAAAATCCCAACACCGATATAATGGCGATCAGGTAGCCAGACGTAGCGAAGTATGCCGCCACGGAGTCCGCTTGGTATCTTTTGTCTATCAGCATAGGCTCAGGCCGGACTAGAGAAGGAAAACTTACATCGCGAGGCCGATGGTTGGGGGAACCGCGCCCCTAGTATACCATTTAGCACTCAAATATTCCATAAACAATCGCAAAGCAAACCTGGCTCACTTCATCATCAAAATAACCGACTGCCGGTCCAGATCAACCTTGCGCCATGCCGATTTCACGACGTCCAGAAAGCTTCGGTGTTTGACCTCAGCCCCATCCACTTCATCGTGGTACGAGTGTGGTTCGGCCATGGCGTATATGTTATCCCAAAAGGGGACCCTCTGTCCAATAATCGCACTCCTCCCAAAGAGTCTGTTCTTAAGTCATAGGTGCTGAACGATGCGCCTCGGGCCCTCATGCACCACTATAACACGTGACTTTGTGGCGCTGTCAGAGTAGAAGACAGCAGGCGGGTTGAACTAAGGCGCACTTTGATGGACTCTGGCACGCGATCCTAGGTACATACACCACAGCGGGTGTTGAGAGGGGTTGGAAATGACGAAAGCAGAAATTGCGGAGAGTTCGAGTTGGAGGCTGGTCGCGGTGGGCCTCCCTTTGCCTGCATCTGTAATGCCAAGAAGAGCCAAGTTCTCCAGGATCATATCAGTCCCCTCGGTTGTCGAATGTCGCTCTGTTCGTGAGAGATACCTGCGATATTCGGCAGATGATCTTTAGGTACTGGTATGATCAGTATGAAGGAGGAAACGAGCAACCAGGCCGGGATTTGATGGGTTGTGGCTGCCTCCGACGACAACCCGACTGGACTCGGGTGTCGGCAACACATCGATCAATGTAATGAAGTTCGTTCCAGGCTAACACAAAACAGGGATTAATTCGTCTTGATATTGGTTTAGAAGAAAAAGGCTAGTCAGAGACTCAACGGCGAGAATAACTGAGTCTTTGTTAACCACAATCCCTGCACCTTTCTTTGCCGTCAAGCACCATGCTCTTTATGAAACACCGTCCTCCCGCTCTACTCAACATGCGCTTCAATCCAGCTTTATGACCGCGTTGGACATACCCAGCATTCTGCAAGTAAATGGCATCAACGATCAATGGCCCTCCACCCGGGGTTCCCAAACGAAAACCTCTTCCTGAAGCTGCCGCCCCGCCAATTCCAGAATCCAACAGCGACCTTGAAAAGACAACCGAGCCAGTCCCTGTACCGCCTGCGACCGACAGAACGCCAACACAAAAGCACAAACTCACGCCATGGCGACAGCTACAGCTAAGGTGGAATCAATTCTCACTTAAGAAACAGCGGATCATCATCGGTGCTTTAATCGCGACACTCGCGCTTCTCGCCCTTATCATCGGTCTCGCTGTGGGGTTGACGAAACGTCATGGAAAGGGGTAAGTGTCCGAAGTCTGGGGTCGCACATCTTCCTCCTATCCCTTGCGTCTTCTCTTTTGATTAATCCATTCCTCGGCGATTAATTGACCATTGGATATTGGAGACAAGACTGATTTCACCTCTACAAACAGCTCGAACCTCCCTCTCCCCACCTCGAACGGCGGGCCCTACACCGGCGATCTAACATACTACGACCCTGGTCTTGGATCATGCGGAATATCTAGCAAATCCTCCGAGAATATCTGTGCTGTGTCACACGTTGTCTTTGACGCCGCCTCGACTTCTGGAAATCCGAACGAGAACCCACTTTGCGGGTTGAAGTTGCGTATACGTAGGGGCGATAAAAGTGTGGACGTCAAGGTTGTGGATCGCTGCCCAGGTTGCAGCGTCGATGACTTGGACGTATCCTCAGCTGTTTTTGAAGAATTGGGCGACCTTGCGGAAGGGAGGGTAACAGTGGACTGGGCCTGGTTGGACAAAACCCCTGTTGCGATGGAATGATTTATGAACTTTCTGTCTCTTTACTTTTCAGCTGATTTCCCCGAGTGTAATTTCGATATACCCCCTTCGCTTAGTCGTTGCCATATTACTTTTCAAGCCTTTTGTCGATTCGCTGTTAATAATCGGGCCAGTCCGGGTCAACTTGTTCACGCCAGGAGCGAAATCCGCCCTTAATATCGACTATTCGACGCTCGCCTCCTCGATCAAGTCCCAACTCCTTCAGCCTCTTAACTGCCGTCTGTGAATCATTCCCCAGCCGACATACCACATATATCGGGTTGTTTGAATCTCGGGTAATCTCAGACGGTAGCCATGAGGGCAGAGGAGCCGGTTCATCCGCATGTTTTGTTGCCGTACTAGGTGCAGAAGCGAGGATAGTCGAGATCGGGATGTTGATGCTATTCTCCAAACTGCAGATATCAAACTGGATTTTATCCCGCACGTCGATAACATGCCTACCCGTGTCGGTGCCATGATCTTTGTTATATTCCAGCGGAGTAACACGCTCCTCCGAGGATAGAATGTCTTCGGGGTCCACGGTCCCGCAAAAAAAGACATAGTCCATGGACCCTGATCTCACACTTTCCAGTGTCACACTCGCATCGGTGGAGCACACCGCGCAGTTAGGCCGTCGGGAACGTAACTTAATCGTGCGGAATTGCGGCGTTGAATACGCTGAGAAGATCAACAAAGAAGGCGGGGTTGCTTCAGCTGTTCCTTCGAGGGCCGTGAGAACCTTGATCGCCTCCAACGCTTGTAGCACACCCATAGTTCCAACAACCGGCCCTAAAATTCCACCATCCGCACAGCTCGTTATGCTATTCGCCGGTGGGGGTTTTGGAAAAACACAACGGTAACACGGGCCCCCTGTCTTTTCCCCAGCAGGCCGAGGGGGGTTGTTCAGCACCATCAGCTGGCCTTCCGTCCGCAAAGCGGACGCCGAAACTAACGGCTTGCCCTGGAGAACAGCCGTGTCTGAAATGAGGTACCGAGTCGCGGGGTTATCCGTACAATCGAGGATTAGATCGTAGTCTTTGAAAATATCCGGCGCCTCCTGAGGCGCGAGGTGTGCTCTGTGCGCGATATACGTAGAGTGTGGGTTCAATCTAAGGCCATGAATAGAAGAATCAGTATACATTCAACCCGTCTCGTTATCCAAAAAGCATAAACCCACTCTTTTAGATACTCAATCGCACTGTCAACCTTGAGCTTCCCCACATTCTTGCTCCTATGCAGCACCTGACGGTGTAGATTCGAAGATTCGACCGTATCGCCATCAACGAGGCCCAACGTTCCAACCCCCGCACCAGCGAGATACAATGCAGCGGGACATCCCAATCCTCCTGCTCCAACTATCAGGACTTTCGCATCCCGAAGTTTCAATTGACCTACATCATGAAAACGTACTATTAGCTCGGAAGATCACGAAACCCCGCAGGCGACCGTTCATGGTATATCTTCTTACCCTGCAAGCCCAGCTGCGGCACAATCATCTGTCTTCCATATCGCCGGTACTCCTCTCCCGATAGCGGCCATTTACCCTTCACCCTTGTTTTTGCTTCAGTGTCTGCGTCCGAAGCATCCTGGGTCCGGCTCTCGAGTGCAGCTTCCTCGGCGTCGTGGAGTTCGCGCTTTAGCCTTGCGAGCTGGGCTTCTGTGGCGGCTACTTCGGTACGCAGCGAGGCGCACTTGCTTTCAAGGTCCTCCATCTGGCACACAGTGCAAAGGGGATTTGTATTATGCGAGGCGGGGTCTTCAAAGGAATCGAAGCATGGGGGGTAAAGCTCGGGTCAAATGAAGGCTCCGCTCCGACAATTCTCGCAACGGTACTAACTAAACCTCTTTTGGTAGTGTACCTCTAGGACTCAAAAGGCCCGGGGCCGGGACAACACAACCTGCTTCACTTGGGTATATCATAGATTATTTGGTCATTAATTCATCTAACTAGGATCCTGCCGCTGCTAATACAACAATATAACAATTCGCTACAGACAATATGTGTGGACATAGTGTTCACTCCAGCAGTTATCTTAACACCTCAGTTGTTGACGAGATATAAATATCTAGGAGCTCACGTCATTCGAACAATTCTTCCGATCTGCCAGTTCTGTTCCAGGCTCAACAAAGCGAGTAAGCGTATTGCGTGCCTTTGTTCGCTGTTCAAATGAAAAGGCCATGGAAATGAGAGACTCCTCACTCCATTTTTGCCCCAGGAAACTAACGCCCAACGGCACACCAGGCGCGGCATCAGTGAGGTCTCCACGCAAATTATACAGAGTGGGGGTACCAGGAGGAAATGCATCAAACGGGACCGTGATTATCGGGCTACCAATTATTCCTGGAATGTCTGCTGACAAACGTGACGGGAGGATTATGGCGTCGAGATTATGTCGTGAAAGCGCGCCCATCAAGCCTCCCTCTTCGCCGAAAAAGAGAGATTGTTGGTATAAGTTCCAGAAACCCGGTGACGAATTGTTCATTCCAGCCAAGATCACCATATCCCAAGCCTCTGTATCCCGCAATGGATAGCCTTCTTGAGGGCTGTGCTGCGTGAAGTTACGAATGTCCTCCAGCGAATGAAGATTGTTCGGGTTGCTGTTTAATGCCGAAAGATAGGCTGCGAATCCACTCAACATGTCTGCCGCTACCACTCTTTGTGGGATTTGACTCTTCATGAATGCGTCGTATGCAGTAAAATTAGCTTCTTCGACAATGGTTGCACCTGCCTCCCTAATCGTTGCAATGGCTTTTTCAAACGAGTCTATAATGGGCTCGGCTGCGGTGCCGAAGATGTCAGGTAGGATACTGAGAACATTTCGGGGAACTCCTATTCTCTTGCCCTGTAAGCCAGTTATTTCGCACGCTGCAGCATAGTTGGGAAGGTTTCCATGAAATGGCGAGGACAGGGTATAGTTATCATTTGCATCTTCACCCGCAATTGCCTGTAGCACTAGCGCTGCGTCGCGGACTGTTCTGGCCATCGGTCCAATTGTATCCATGCGCTCACTAACAGGAATCACCATGTGTCGCGATGTAAGGCCTACTGTTGGCTTGATACCGACAATGTTGCTCCTTTCGGCAGGATAGATAATGCTACCACTAGTCTTCGATGAAAAGGTGGGCATTCAGTCAGCACAAGTGGTGATATTCGGTCTCAGTCTCTTACCTCTGTTCCTAATGCTGCAAAGGCGAGACCCAGGTCGACCGCCACGGCGCTACCACTAGAACTTCCATTTGGATCCTGGTTTTCAACGTACGCAGCATAAGTTTGGCCGCCCCTGGCATTCCAGCCATTCGTCGAATTGATAGAACGAGTGTTTGCCCATTCCGACAGGCTTGTCTTTCCGATAATGATCGCACCGTTTCTTCTGAGATTTGCAACGACAGTAGCGTCCCTTCGAACTTTGGCTCCGATAAGCGCATATGAACCGGCTAATAAAAGGGTCAATGCTAGCTCAAATTCAATTAGGGGAATGGCTTCATACCTGCCGTCTCCATTTGGTCATCTGTACCTATTAAATCTTTGACCAGAACTGGAAGCCCATGGAGGGGGCTGGTAACCGTTAGTTTCTTAAGACAATATATGCAGGAGATTCGAGCCTAATATACCCTAAGGTTTTGCCTTCCTGTCTATCCCGGTCTCGCTGTTCTGCAATTTTCAATGCATCTGGGTTGGTCTCCAAGACAGGGTTGAGCATCGAGTTGACCTCGGAAATGCGTGCAAAAGAGGCCTAGTGAGTACATCAGTCATATGAAGACAGAAATAAACGCAAAGGTAGCTTATCAACCTCAACAAGATCGACACTAGTGAAGCACCCCAGGCGAAGGACTCTCTGGAAATGAACCTGTGTTGCGTTGAGCAAGGACGGGAATTCACAGCACTCAGGAACAACTGCCACTGCACCAACGCCAGCAATCAACAGCAGGAAGACCATTCGGAGGTACGCCATCGTTAAGGGCCCTGGAGCTGACCAAGATAAAGTGAGTAAAGTGATAGTGCTTGTTACACAAATAGGCCGTGGGCACGCAGCTTATTTATCAGATTCGGAAGTCTGCAGGAGACCGATGGGCGGCTACAGCAAGCAGGGGAAGGCTGCAATCGGGTCTCTGCCAGCCTCAGTTCTTTGAAGTAAACGGTGAGGGTATATAAAGCAAACAGAGGGTTGGTTGGTTTCCAGATAAGAAGTAAAGTAGGTGCAGCTCATAATTTATTTATGCAGTCACCTGTGCAGCAAGGGCCTTGCTGCATGGCCCCAACCTTTCTGCCTCTTTCTCACTTGTCTTCATATCACTTCATCTTAACAATAGTTCACTTTAATACTCACAACTATTATTCACACCAAATTCCACCTCGAATTTCAGCCGTAGCTAACCTTGGCATCCAAATTCGGAAATCATCCAGAGACTCCAAAATAAGAGATCATGAGATCTTGGTCTGCGGTTCGTCCCGGATGCTGAAATATAGTTTAAGATGAGCTTATGGCAGTCAAGCAGATGATCTTCGGATCTTCATTATCAAAGTTAACTGCTTCTTTGCCCATTGTCGCAGGGGGTATGCAGCCTCTTGCCTTTGCCCGCCCGGTTGTGAACAAGGATGATACTCGGGGATTTAGTGAGCATAGGCCACGGGGCAGAAATAGAGACGGCGGGCAAGTCCGCAGGATGCCTGGGATTTCGTGAATATGGTTGATATGATTAGCGGTCTCGATCGGGTCGCCGGGCAGAGGCCAGCGCAATTCCTGGGCGACTGGCAGGGATCCTGATCCAATGAGCGCATGTTATCTCCCAGATCGAGCCGTCGCCCTCGCTTCTTCTTACTATATTCGCCGCGTCTGTATTCTCATCGCTTGATCACGAACATCAACCCAGGCGCCCCCAAGCGATTGGGCAAAATGGCTCCAGATCGCCTTCCTCTCGAAACAGCCTCGTCCATCACCTGACGATGGCACTCGCGGCTGAAGACGAATTTCTTTATCATCAGCCCTGGGAGTCTCCTCGGTCTCGTTAGTACCAACTCCATTTCACCTTTCCTTGCCTCTGCAGCAGTTATTCCATCACCAGATGGTATGTACCCATTCTCTTGACCACATTCCGACTCTGAGAGCTAATTCCTTAGGCCACCGCGCATCTCGAATTCCCTTTCCTCGAGGAGGTATATACTCCGACCGAGCCCCCTCTTGTTGAGTAAGTCCTTGATCTGCTGTTGCTCTCGCCCCATCGCTGACTTTGACTGTTGCTGACCAGTTTCGTCTTCGTTCACGGGCTGAATCCTCGCGCACGAAATGACCACCCTTTCCAAACTTGGACTCATGAAAATGGCACATTCTGGCCCCGAGATTACCTTCCGCGGGATATTCCCAACACTCGCGTCTTCGTTTTCGGCTACAATTCAACTGTAACCGATGCGAGAACTATGTCCACAGCCAGTATCAAGGACCATGCAGATACCCTGTTGAACCTGTTGGATATGGAGAGAAACGAGCAGATGGTATATTCGCAAGAAACCCCTAAACAGCGCCGGATGACCACAACTAAACCTTCTTAGGCTGCAAGGGCCCCCAAAATTATCTGGATTTGCCACAGTCTAGGAGGCCTGGTGGTTAAGCAGGTACTTTCTTGTCTATGCTTGGTGTGGCTAGGCTTACCCTTAATAGGCCTTGTTGAATGCACACGAGGACCGAAAGTATACTTCCATTCGTACCGATACTTGCGGTCTCGTTTTCTTTGGAACTCCACACCAGGGAGCCAAGGGTGTTGAACTGGGAAAAATCGCTGCCAATGTCGCGAAATTTATATCCAGAGGCCACGCTAAAAATGACTTGCTCGAATGCCTAGAAGAGAACGCTCTCTTTACTAGGCAGATGTCAAGCCGATTCAAACAACAGCTCGAAGACTATCAGGTCGTTAGTTTTGTTGAGGGTAAAGAAGTGTTCATAGGAGGCAGTGGACCAGCTTCAATAAGTCATGTAAGCGCCAATTTGCGATTGTTATAAGACCTATGACTGACCCTAACAGCTTGTGGTTGACGAAGAATCTGCCATCCTTGGTCTACCAGGACAACGCGAGACCCGCTTGAAGCTAGATGCAGATCATTCGCAGATGTGCAAGGTCGGCAGTCGGGGAGCGATGTACAAGCTGATCAAAGGAAATATCAAACAAATTGCAGACCATGTCCTTCTTGCGGAGCGTGGATTTGTCCCGAAGCCCTCCACGGCTTCTTCAAATCCGGGACCTCCTCTCCCACCTCGAATGCATCTCAACAGCAGTCTGCCTTACGCGGGGCCTCCTCGCACGCCAGATCCATCCGAAAATCGGGTTATCGGGGTGCTATTCCAACCTGCTGATAACGATCAAAGATCGCGTCAAGTTGCAGAGCACATGAATAACTGGAAATGGGATGACGCGCGACGAGTACAATATGCTATTTTCCAAGAGCATCACCGTACACTAGGCCAAGACCACTACAGCACTCTACTCGCCGGTTACTACCTGGCCGATATTGAGCTCAATGCAGGGTGTTTTCTGAAGGCAAAGGAATGGGGGGATTGGGTGTGTAACAATTCCCAACGGGTGCTATCCAAACGACACGAGCTTTCGATGAAATCAGAAGGCTTAATGGGCGAACTCATATTTCGCTTGGGCAAGGCTCAAGAAGGTCAGTCTATCTGCTCGAATGTTTTAGCACGTCAACAAATAGCGATTGGCGACGACCATCTGGATACACTAGACACGCGTCGACGAGTGGCGCTAGCCTACGGACAACTTAACCAGCGGACTGAAGCCATCCAAGCAATGACCAAATACAGCGAAAGTGTAGGACGTATTCTTGGAAAGAACCACATCCTGTACTTCGCAAGTGTGCTAGACACAGCAGAGCAGGTTCTTTCCCAGCGGCTAGACAGCACCGACCAGCTCGTAAGCCGGTTCAGCGTCACCGTTTCAGACCCCCAAGCCGAAGCATGCGAAGCCATTGTACAGGAACTAAATACTCGACTGGGTCGACACCACCCGCTCACCATCCGCGGCACGTGGATTAGCGGAGCAATGCAGGCGCTCATTCAAGACAACGGCACCAGCTCTTCGGAGACATTTCGACGCGCCCTCGCCACTGCGGAAGAATACCTTGGTCCAGAACACCCAGAGACTATGAACATCGTCGGTATCATGGGTGTGATATATGCCTTACGCGGATCATTGACTCAGTATGGCTACAATCCTTATATCCAGGACAAATCGGCAAATCTCACCAACGCTCTGCCGTGGTTACAACGTTATCTGAGCTGGGCCGAGAAAAACCAGGGCATCGGATCCCCAGAAGTTCAAACAATCCTTGGATTGATCGCGAAAATGTACTTCGGATCACAGCAGTATCAGCAAGCACAGACTTATTTTGACCGTTTGATTGCGTCGTATCGTGCTGCCGGCATGCCCGTACCAGACGACATTCAGAGCTCTTACCAGCTCTGCCGGATGAATACGCGGTTTTTGACGCCACAGATTGGAGGCGGCTCTGGTACGGGCCTAGACTTTGCGAATCTTTTATCTTCATTTCGACGGTTGTAGGTATTTCCTAGTCACTGACTGCGTATTTCGCGAGGTATTTTTTAATGCTGTTCTTGGTTGCATACGCATTGTTGTTTCGGTTCGCACTGTCTGATGGAAACTGCGCTGGGAGTTGCATAATGAGATAAATGGTATATGAGTTTAGGCTATCCATCTTTCGATAATCAACCGCTTTCCACCGTTAATTCCAATTCAGTCGGCAATTTCTCGCATCACTTCGGAGTAGGGCTCAGCCGCTCAAGATAAATCAACCCAGACAGTGCCTAAGTTAGTGGGAGGCCACATGCCTCAAATCTAACCATGTGTGCATTATCGTGCGCCGATTGGTGGTTGAGCCTGTGGCATTCCTGGAATCCGTGGGTCGCCCAGAGAGTGGCTTTGAATGGAAGCTTGGATCAGGGCAAGGCGACAAACAAACTCGATTGTTGGAGAACGGAGCGGACTTCATAGTGACTCCGTACATACGGTGTACTGAGGTCTGGAGGCCTTTGTAGAATCCTGGCTTCCATTGGTTCCGATGCATAGCCTCCTCCTGTCCATCACTTCCTCAACCTCATTAGTTCTCCCAGGGCTGTGCTCGCCCGGTGCCTGCTCCCGCCACAGCTTCCGACTCGTCCTGTCCAGGTGGGCTCCTTGCAGCAAATTTACATGATGCATCTTCCCTTCTTGAGGAGACGTCAAGAATCTCACGATGCGGGATATTTCATTGGAGGCCTTGTTTCTTTCAGCCCTTTGAGGCGCAGTGGAGATTGAGCACCGCTGATCATCTGCCTGGCTCGTCCCCACTTACTCTCAAAAGACAGCCCACGGGGACGTGAGTTGGAGATGGACTGGTTGACCTGAATCGCTACGTCCTGCAGTCAATTGTATCCCATTAAAGATACTCCTTTGCACGTTTCTTCAAAACTTTGGGTGAATCGATATGGCGAGGGGCTTTTGCCAGAACGCGGCACCGGGCTCAAATGAAGCTGACGGTCCAAAACACCTTTGCAGCAACTGTTGAGGCTTAGTGTGTCCACCCTTTGGGGCCAGAGTATATTTCGCTTGCGTCTGACGGCATTTTAATTTCCTCGACCCGCAGTTGAGTTGTCAGATCGCTTGTCAGATCCGTTGCTGAAGGCCCCTTTTATATCTTTGCTCCCGGCGCGCGGCTGATCCCAGTTGGTGAACGCATTGCATATCCTTGTCGCAATCAGTCGCTCGTTTGTGGCACCTTCATTCTCTTGTTCAATGAGCACGTGGTTGGATTACTCGTCATGAAGTCCAATTCATTGGGCGCTGCCCTCGTTTTATCACAGCTCCAAAGAGTCGCCATGGCTGCGGATTTGGGGTCACATGTTAACCTCTTGTAAGTCGATCCTGCATCATGGTACATAGTCAGTAGAATGAATATCGTGTGTTGACAAGTATAACCGCAGTCTCGGTACAGAAAATGGTGGTAACAACTTTCCCGGCGTTGCCAGGCCGTTTGGTATGGTCAAGCTTGGCCCTGATCTTTTTACTGGCTCAGACGACGCCTATTCTGGATATCTACCAGAGGGCGAGTTCTCTGGCTTCAGTATGATGCACGAGCAAGGAACAGGTGGCGCTCCGAAGTACGGCACCGTATCCCAGCTTCCACTAGTGGGCAAAGTCGAGGATCCTCTTTCGAATATCACTGTTTCGCGAGACGGGACCGACGAGGCGTCCGTCGGATATTACAAGGCCACGACGGGCGACGGGGTTGCTGTGGAGCTGAGCGCGAGTGCACACGCGGGAATCTATCAATACACTTTCCCTGAAAACTCTGACGAGAGCCATGTGCTTGTGGATGTTTCTCATGTTCTTCCGTCGTTTCGAGGACAGGGCCTTAGCCAAGGCTATAAGGGTGGAAACTTCACTATCTTCTCTGATGGGCACTATGAAGGACATGGGGTTTATGACAACGGCTGGAATAGGTCGCCTGATTGGACTATTTACTTCTGTATGTCATGCAGCTCATGATTCGTCTGCGTCCGTGTTTGCCATGGTCGTGTTAACATTACCGCAGGTGGATATTTCGAAAATGACATCGAAAGTAAGGCAGCCTATAAGGGCACTGACGATGGTGGTAGCGTCAAACAGGACAGCGGCTCTGCTACTTCTTCGGCTATGTCCACACGAGTCGGCGGAGTATTCTCCTTCAAAGACAAGAATGTCGTCTCCCGAGTGGGTATCTCATGGATATCCTCGAGTCGGGCTTGCCAACATGTTCAAGATGAGATTCCCGCTGAGACCTCCCTTGAATCTGTCATTGATGACGCGAAGTCTGAATGGGAAAACACGGTTTTCTCCAAGATAACGACGACTAACACCAATGAGACAAGTCTCACACTTCTGTATTCGTCTCTTTACTTCATGCACCTTATCCCCACAAACCAAACGGGAGAGAACCCGGGCTGGGAATCAGATGAGCCATATTATCAGGACATCTTCACCTTTTGGGTCGGTGTCCCAATACCATTTGTATATCGACCTCTAACATCATGGGCAGGACACCTTCCGTTGCTCAACTGCACTCATGCACATCCTGCAGCCGACTTCATATGAAGAGCAGATTCGCTCTTTGATCGACATCTGGCGATTCGACGGCTATCTTCCTGACGGACGATCCTCAAACTACAATGGACGAACTCAAGGTGGCTCAAACGCTGACAACGTCCTTGCCGACGCATACGTCAAGGGCCTGCGCGGCGCCATAAACTGGGATGACGGCTATAAGGCGATGGTAAAGGACGCCGAAAAAACGCCCCCCAATGACCCGGTCGATTCTATGGCCCCTGATTCTTCCACCAAGGAAGGACGAGGCGCCCTGCCAGACTGGATTGAGCTAGGATACATCACACCTAAGTACACGCGCGCCGTCAGTAGAGCTGTCGAATATGCCAGCAACGACTTCGCTCTGTACCAGGTGGCATCAGGCCTAGGCTTTGATGATGACGCAGAAAAGTACTTGAACCGTTCCAGAAACTGGCGAAACCACTGGAACAAGGACCAGGAGTCACTAGGTTTCTCTGGATTCGTCGTCCCTCGTGATGACGATGGTTTTATTGAAACAAACCCAATTGATGATAGTGGATACTGGGGCGATCCATATTACCAGGCGACTTCCTGGGCTTACTCATTGTCAAGTGTTCATGATATGGAGTCTATTATTGAGTTGGTAGGTGGTGAGAAGACCATGCTTGAGCGCTTGGATACCACTTTCAAAGAGGGTGCAAGTGGCTCTGATGGGATGATTTTCGATCCCACGAACGAACCGTAAGGAATGCCCTGAATACTCCCATCTTTGGGGATGCCAGCTGACCGCGTACCAGAATGTTTAACATCCCATACCTATACAACTACATCAACAAACAAAACATTTCTGTTTCCCAGTCCCGTCACATCGCTAAGACGTACTACCACACCGACGTGGACGGACTTCCGGGCAACAGTGACGCTGGCGCCATGCAAACATGGCTTCTCTGGAACATGATCGGCCTGTATCCAATCACAGGACAAACGACCTTCCTCATCCACTCCCCTTGGTTTGAGTCTTTGACCATCGACCTAGGAGGTGACAAGACGCTGAAAGTCACAACCACCGGCGGTGACGGTAACGGGGACACAAAAATCTATGTCCAAAGCTTGAAGGTAAATGGACAGGACTGGAAAAAGAACTGGCTGGCGTGGGATGACATCTTTGCCGAGGGTGGCACGCTAGAATTCGAGCTTGGAGATAAGCCGAGTCAGTGGTTTACCGGGGAAGCACCCCCAAGCCCTGCTTCAGCGCAGGAGACGCCTGGTGTTCCCGTAACTCAGAGGTCGGGATAAAAGGTCACTAATGCACATTCTGTACATATAATATAGATGAACTGTTCGGTTTGTGGTTTTGAATTACAACATCATGGCGTTAATTAGCTGAGAGGACATTGCTGAGCCTCTACACGCTTCCGCGTTCTGGATGCATGGCAACAGGGTTTGAGAGCAACGAATAAAGATCCGCGGCTCTATTGTCGGATTGTGATTTTCCATCAGACATGAGCATCCAGTCTATATCAGTATCAATGTTGATGTCTTCAAGCGAGCCCGATCTTTCGTTTGATATTTCGCAATCTTTGGAACTTGATCCATCAAGTCCAATTGAGGTTGACTGTTGTTTTGCTGGCCTGAGAATTCCACTTTCTAAGTTATAGCTTCCCTTACTAGAGCGCATCCGGATTTCCCATCGCCGTTGCAGCCCCAGCAATAGATCTTTAGCTCGGCTAGCACTCGGCCATGAGATGGCAAATTCGTCTAGTGCACGAAAACATGTGCTCAAATGCCTTGCAATTCCGCAATTGCAGTGCTCGTCTGATCGATACTGAGTTACGGCAGCGAAAAGAAGCAAAAGAACAGCGGAGGAAGTAATAGCAACCGCCTTTGTATGGATTCGCCGAAGGGTATACCTCGCCTCGTACATGACAAGGAGTTTGGCTATAGCAATCGCGGATTGGATACACATCTCTCGGGCATGTCCGTGCCCTGGGCCTTTTGGTGGTTGAGGCTGGAGATGACTTTTTGACATCCATGGTCGGTGCGCATATATGATATTCTGGTAGTATTGCATACTTTCGATATGGTTAATCATATTTTCCAAATGAGCTGAACAGTGTTAACTTACTGTAGTAAAAGAACCTGTGGAATATACGGGGCGGTCTGATCATCCAAGTCGATTTGTAATGATGGGGGAAGTCCGGCTTTCCAGTTGAGGAGCTTTGCGACGACTTTCTCGTTCAAGTGCTGGAGTACCACCTTGGAAATATTTGACGTTCCGTATCTGAGAGCTGGGTTAGCGGTGTAGAGGATTGTATACACGGGTGTAGCGTCTTACAAGAAGTCGCCACATGGGGCCATGATTTCGCAGAGGTTAATTTGCTCTTCACACACAGATTCCATACAGTCCGGTGCGCCTCGTCCAGCGTAAATAGACCCAGGAGATACATATGGAGCCCATCTGTCAGATCCACGTCGGTGCGTGTTCTTAGTAGGTTTCCCAACGGTCACATCTTCCATATTTGTACGAAATGGTCTGCCCAGATGAAATCCTAGCTGACTAAACATTTGTCAGTGTGGCGCGTATCAGGGAGCTTATGTATAAAGCACTTACTGGTCAACTGTGTACGCAGCCCAAAATACAGCTCGACGTAGGTCCGCATCTGCCGGAGTAATAAGTCCACCGGAAACATAAGATGACATATCAAGGTGCAGGGCGAGGTTGAAGGCAAGTCGGATGGCCATTCCTAGGGCTGTAAGTTGAAGTTCTTTCAAGGTTCATTAGGAGTATGTACCACTGTAAAGCCACCCACGCGCTTCTCTTCCGCTCCCAACCTCAAGACTGCTGCAGATGACCAGAGATTGGACTGTTGCCACGCAAGGAGAATCCATCTCAACCTCAAGAAGGGCTTTTGCACGATCACCGAAAAAATCAACAAGCGATTTTGGAAATGTGACAAAATCCGGGTGATAGCGCGTCTCAAACGAAGCTCCGATAGCACACCTGCTCGAATGTATCAGGATTTGTAATTCTCCTACGACTCGTAAGCAAACCAGAGACTCACATTGCATTTCGAAGTGACTCTGAGTAGTAAGGTGTGTCACCCAGGGCATACCACCTTGCCTTGGCATCTCCATACGTCATCCGATCTACCACATGAAAAGATGGGTCTTGCCAACTAAAATAGAGATTCATTAAGTGCTCTTCTAGGGGAGCAGGAACAGTCTTATGATTTCCGAGGCGCCGTAGACATTCCAATGCGTCGTTCTGGGCGGTAAGGCGTGTCCCGGAATTTGAAGTAGCCAACATATCGGCAAGATTGAAGGTTGAAGTTGGACCGTAGAATTGGGTCTGTCCTCCGGGCTTGATTTGTAGCGTTCCGACTCGGTCAGAGAGCTCATCAATGAGACCCTCTACATCCTCCGGGCTACTGGGTTCATCCACCAGCGTCCTCTCATCATCGGCGACTATGGGCTCGAATGGTTCAGGTATTTCACCAAGCATGGATTGTACGGTGCCCCTAGGAGACGGAGGAGTGGGAAAGTTGTGCATGTATGGGGAATTTGGCAGGAATGTGTCGGTGCCTAGTTGCCAATTCCAACTGCTCGGGTCATTGTTTGATTGAATATCAGGTAAATCTTGGTAGAGTGGCACACTAGCTGTACCATCTTCGACGGCAGATGGCAATGCGGATATGCTATTCTGAAGTTGTTCGGCACCCATATACGGGGCATCGGGCGAGTTTTCGGAGTGCTGCTTGGATTCGCTTCTTTCCAGGGCTTGTGCCATCGGAATTGGATGAGAATTCGCCACGTTGGGATAGGCGTCCTTCATTTCGTTCATCGACTGCTCTGGCTTACAGGCAAGCTGTCGCATCGAGTTCGAATTTATTTCAGTCAATCCAAGCATTTCCAGTACCTTTCCCAGAGCCGTATCCTTTTCTTGCGACATCGGGGGTGGCTGCATTCCATTCTCTCGGATAAAACAACATAGCTGGTCCACCCTGCTTGATAGCAATTCAATGGCGACACGGAGAGGTAGTCTGGAGAAGCGCCGTTAGCATCACCAATGCCATGGCGGGCACCTTTAACACTCACTTTCTCTTGTCGACAGCTTGGTAGCGACATTCTCGATTTCTGTTGGCACAGTTAGAGCATGCCGGTTCGGCGCCGTCGCACTGTAGCTGTTAACTGGACAAATTCGTATCATATAAAAGAGAGAAAATATAGCCACCAACTAACCTTGACCTTACTTTCGCGACAAGACACGCAGGCCATGGTAGCATGCCTCCTCTTGGCAAAGGATTTGGGTGTCGGCATCTTTTCCACTTCAGCAGCAGGCGCTGCTCAGAACGCGTACAGCTGGACAACGGGCTCAATTGAGATTTGAACAAATCTGGGGAGAGTTGAAAAGGATGCGGGAAAGAAAACGAGGACATTTCCATGGACGAAAGAAGTTGGAGGTGGGGGGGACGGGGACTCCACAAGTCCTCACTTCAACAACTTCCATCACAGCTTCAACTCGCCACAGTCCAATCATCACCCCGGTTTTTTGACTAGTCCATATTTCAGGCTATGAGAATGTATCTAGGCTCTAAGTGGCCCCAGGCAGTCCAGGTGGGTGCTGCAGCGTGAGTAGTTCGTCGACATACGAATCCGTCGAGACACGACAGCCTTGAACTGACTTGTGTAGAACACAATCTCTTCCTGGGCTTCTAAATGACAACACGAGGACAACGGCCCAGTCCGAGGCGCCATTATCATCATTAAGGCACACTCATGAACGTGTTATGTGCGAATCGGTGATAATCCCGAACACGGGCATGTTGATAGGCTCACAGGGCATTTCGGACAATGGAAGCCGAAAGTCTGCCCCATACTGTGGGGGTGGCCAACGATTACCCCAGACCTGCCTCAGCATACTCCGAGCGGACAACAGTTGGCATTTACTCTATGACTAGTTATGGGTTGTACACACTATATGGCAGTGCTTCATGAACTTGGTCTCTTCCCGTACGTTCACCATTATTGCATCTCGCAGGCCCTCAATGTTTTCCCAGACCTCGAGACAAGGCCCTCCAATTCAGCACGAAACCATTGGTTGGAAGTACTACATAGTTTATGCAATCTTCAGCTCCTATTAAATCCAATCATCTGGTATTTCTTCGTTGAAGCCGCCAAACTTTCATTAGAGCAGGTTGATTCTGGAGAGGAGACCCACTGTATGGATGGATAGTGCTGTTCCAATACATACAGAAATGTCGCTTCGCGTCACTCAAACTGCGCCTTATACACACTGCCTCCATGGCTGCCTCAATACGCATTGCCTGACCATGACCGCATGATTTCTTATTGTGTTCTCTGCACGGCGCTCTCATCGACCTCCCTGTTGAGCTGAACGCACCCCGCAGCCCATCCCAACCTGGCTTCTTTAGCCGACGACCCGTCGTATAAACAGGCCCTTCTTCCCAGTTTGACCGTTACCTCTATTTACCACAGGTCAGCTCGCTATGTCGCTATATAAATGCGTATCTTGTGAAGGGCTTATCCAGGCCACCAAAGCACGTCTATCATGCAGTTGCTGCATACCGCGCATGACCCTCTGTGCCAACTGCTATGTCGTGCAGGACTATCCTCCACAACATCAAGACGACGCCTCCCATCCAGTTTTGCTGCACAGATACAGTGGGTTCCTCCCAGTGCCTCCACCGCCCCCGCCGCGTTCGCAACCTGTTAGGTCACCGAGCAATTCGTACGGGCCTCCGCGACGACGACCCATATCGGGAGCATACAGCGATGTGCCCCCGAGAAAACCTCCTCGTCCACCTAAACCGGAAACAACAAGCGATGTCGCTGATGTGGAAAATGTGGCCACTACACCTCCACCATCTGGTCCGTCGCCACCGCTATCTAGATCAATGGATCCTCCACAGCAAGGCTCTGGGCATCTCCCTGAACAACAATCCCAAGCGAGCAGCTGGACTCTTCTCCTAAACGACAACATGAAACCATCTCCCTCTTTTGTCAGGTTGATCGATGAACTTTTCCACCATTTGGACCCGCAGCGTACCGGGTTTCTCAGGCCATAAGTTTACTCCGACTATCTACAGGCCTGTGGAGCACCAGAAAGTCACAACATATGTTTGCTACCCTCTATTTGAGCGTTTTCCTCTATGTCAACTGAAACAGGCCTCATTAATTGACCTTTCATCACAGGGAAAGCAAGCTATACCAAAAACGTCAACTACGGCTACGACATGGCAGACCGAGAACTCACCGACCATTTTACGGCATACTCCATTGATTTTGTTCTACGCCCTCGCACTCCCCCTTCAACCCCCGTTTCCTCCCCTCTGGACCCCCTTTCCTACCTCCCCTCCAACCAACGCAATACACTCTCCCGATTCATGCGCTCCCAGCCTGCAGCAGCAACCTCCCTCTCGGGTGGCCAAAAGCCCATGCTCTCGCACCGAGGATTCACAGAGCTCGCGCTCTATAGTGTGCTCCTGAATCCATCAGCGGCTTGGGGCCAGTTCAATCGTGTGATTCAGGAATTTCAATTACCTATCCGGGCGGAGTGGGGCGATATTCCACGAGACATGCTACCCCTTAGCCCGTATCAACCGGAGGTGGAGCGGGTAAGAGTCTTACTTGAGGGTGCGAGAGCTACTGCTGAGGAGGAAGTGGATGCCTTGCACGCGAGATTGAAGCTTGAGCAGCGCGGGAGGCAGCATGCGTTGGATTTGTTGGATGATCGGGTTTGGGTTTATCGATAGTTGCTGGGCTTTTGGTTTAGTTATGGTAAGGTCCATAGCATTGGGTAATTATTTATATTAATTATACACGATAAGGATCAAATGGGAATATATAATAATAAAGGAGGGGTATTCGATATCCCATAGTAGCCTGAACGAAACAATCTTAGGTCTGGCAGCTAGACAGTGTGTTGTGCCACATGCATGGACCAACCTCGATCCTTTCCAGTCGGAGATCTTGTCTGAAATATTATTAGAGTTCGATAGTCACCTGAGCCTGTTAGATATTATCTCGAATGATCGTGGACGAAGTGACCACTTACTCAGATCGAACTGGAGACAAAGTCATCTATTCAGATGCTTCACGGATACCAATTCCGGCTCCGGCTCCGGCTCCAACATGGGCTCCAACAGACGCAGAACCTCCAACGCCAACTCCTGCACCTGCTGCACCCGCCGGGACCCCGAAGTGGAGCTGGCGAGTCTCAAGGGTAGGAGGGCTGGCAAAGTCGTCAGACTCAGAAACCTCGCGAATACCAATTCCACCTCCCACACCAGCACCGGCTCCAACGTGGGCTCCAACACCGACAGAGCCACCAAAGCCAACGTGTGTGCCTGCTGCACCCTCAGGGACTCCGATATGGACCTGGCGATCAGTGAGAGGAGCTGTTGGGGCGCTGAGAACGCCAGTGATCAAAGCGAGTCCAACGGCAAGCTTCATGTTGATTGATGTTTTTTTGTTTTTTTCTAAGTTAAACGAAAGTGAGAAATCGAGCACAGCTCAGACTTTTATAGAACGAATGAAAGAGTAAAGGGAAAAGGTGCGACGAGGTGATGATTGTCTGACGAAGGCAGGGCAGGCTTGCTTGCTGGTTGAAGAAAGAGAGGAACAAGCGTCGCTTTATATAGACCGCAGGGGCAAGTAGCAGTCGATACCAGATTTCGGCCACGGTCTGCATTGCCGTTCGTTAATTGACAAGGCCTATAGATGCATAGTACAGAGTAGATCTCATCAACAAGAGTCCTCTTTGCAGAGGTGAATCGTTGGTGCGACGCTAGCAGCAACCCTATACCGAACATCACGCCCGGTGCGAAAACAATCGCGTCAAGGAGCTGCAGAGATCAAAGCCTCACAAATTAATCGGGATCGAATGTCGGCCTGTTCGTGCCGATAATGCAAAACTCACGCGGACACCACACGTCTCAGGCTAAGACCCCGGCCCGGCCTTCGAGTTCACGAGGCCCTAGAATCACAAGAGCAAGGAAGGAGAGAGCTCGCAAGCGGTTTCACCAAGAGACAGGTTTGCAGGACTATCTGTGCCTGAAACGCGCTTAGAGCCATGTGACTAAGGCGCTGTGCCTATTTTGGTGTCGCTGGCCGTTTAATAACGTTCCATAAACTCCCAAAAATTCGGCTGTCGTTGTCGCTGTCGTGTGGCAGCACAGTCGTACACGGGCGTCAGATCTACTTCCACAGCAGATGTCAGTATATCTGAATCGCGTGTGCCGCGGTTCCGGAATTAACATGTAACTGTAGGTTTATGCTTTAGTTGGTTGCATATGTCCAGTAGCCCATGGATACTTCGGATCCAGGCTCCCCGGACAGAACAGCCGTTATCATGCCTGGTTTGCATATCAGCATGTTGTACTAGAAACGCAGCTTAGTCTATCTATCCCGAGCACACCTCCATTGGGCCAACCCTGCGTCGTCTCACGCATCTAGGTTTGTTCTTTTCGGTCAAAAGCTCAACGCTTGCAGAGCAGTTGGCACGACAGGCCAAATCCAACCCAACGGCGCTGATCCAGTGTTATCGGTTTGCCGCAGCTAGCGTTCTATTTCTCCAGAAGCGCGGTAATGGTCCAGCCAGAGGTCGACAGTGTTATCCTGGCCAGCAGGCCTTTTCCATCATTTGTGCATATGGTTGTCGAGACGCCCATTGTTATGAGCCCCAATGCAGGTATCTTCGAATTAGCAGCGGTCAGAAAGCTAATAAAGTTATCCAGGCCACTCCATACAGGATGCGTTAATTTGGTTTTCATGCTGTGGACGCACCTTTAAAGGATCCCCCGTCGAACACCCCAATAACTGATATCGTCTCGAATTGATAAGAGCAGAAGGCGAGCATCGTATTAAGTGTGAATTGTGTGAAGGCATCATGGCCGAAATCGCCCCCAAATCATCCATAAACAAAGCAACTGTCTATCCTTGGCATATTATAGAGGTTATTCCAATGACTTCATCGATATCAAGGTAACTGAGAGGCAGGCAGGCGGAATCAACCTCATCATATTGCCTTCACGGCTTATGCTCGGGGCAATCACTGCTATATTTTTCGTCCGAAGTCGAGTCCTCAGTGAGCTTCAGTTCTAGTCCGACCGAGAGACGGGTCCCTGGCATCGACAGTGCATATATCATGAGTTGATGAATGGGCATGATAAAAGGATGCTTGAAGCTGTCCAAGCATTTAATCCGTATGGCTTGGACAGCAAGAGTGACCATGTTTCGGACCTTGAGCAGTTGAAGGCGGCCTCAGTTCTGGCCTTTACCATTCTTGCCATTGACTGGAGTCACCAGGTGTACCCCAGGAGGTATAAAGGGTCAAGATCTTAGGCGCGCGATAGTCTTAGCGTCCTTAAATGATAAAGGTAAATCACTTCTCGACATCCTTCTCTTCTCAACTCCACCACACCATCTTGTCGCATCGCGTATGAATAAGGCCTGAGCATTCTACTGGGGCAGAAAAAATGCCTCGTTCACGAGAAATTCTAGGCTGCATCCACTACACCATACCACGTGCTAAGTATCCACTGGTGTTTCTTTTCCCGCTGTTGACACTTCCAGTTCCCCACGCTAATTCGTAAACAAGACATCATGCAGAGCCCTGATAAAGGTGGCCCTCACAGCCTTCAAGTTTTGCTAGCCGTAGCTGCGGGGCTACGGCGATAATGTCAAAACACCAGACCGAGCACGCCTTACCTCCACCCCTTGACACGATCCTTGGCCAAGGGGATGAAGCTGCACGTCGAAGCTCTCCTCTCTTGTTCAAATCTTCCAATCAGGTTGTGCCAATGGATACAGACATCTGCGGTCACGGAGACATCAAAAGGAAATCTTTACGAGCGCTGATAAAAAAACCTTGATCATCCATCGGGTGCCTAGGCTTGCGCAATAACGCCTAGGAGTGACATCTTCGCGTATCTGGTTCGAGACTTAAAGCAGCTTTCTGGCTTTAAAACAGATTGTGGCCATGGACGATATTCCCCAAAAACGACGAGCATTATGTCCACCGTCCGAGACCGCCGAAGGTGGTACCACATCAGATGGTTTGCGGATCAAGATACCAAGGAGGAGCGACGTCTCATTTTGAAGCTTGACGCCTTGATCGTTCCTTATGCCTTTCTAGCTTATTGGGTCAAGTATGTTGACCAGGCAAATATCAGTATGTGGCTTTTATTGAACACCTTCCGCTCCAGCTAACAGGATATATAGACAATGCGTACGTCTCCGGGCTTCAAGAGGATTTAAACCTACATGGAAACGAGCTCGTTGAATTGCAAACAATGTACACAGTCGGTGCAGTTGTGGGCCAGTTACCCTTCGCATATCTCTTTACCAAATTCCCTATGTCATGGGTAATCCCATTCCTGGATATAATGTGGGGTGTCTTCACATTGTTACAGTACCGCGTCAACTCCTTTGGGGAATTGATGGTTTACCGGTTCTTTGTCGGGTGGTTCGAGGCGGCATTCTTTCCAGGCATGCACTACATATTCGGTGAGTTCATGTTCTAGACGATAGTCAACACTATGCCAAAGCACCAGCTCACCTTTTCCAGGAGCTTGGTATCGTGGCGATGAGATTGCACGCCGGGGAGGATGCTTCTACGTCGGGCTTACCCTAGGTACCCTCACGGCAAGCCTGATTCAAGCGGGGACATCTTCTAGGCTCGATGGAGTTCATGGACTAGCAGGCTGGCGATGGATGTACATTGTCTGTGCCATCATCACCATCCCAATCGGGATCCTAGGGTACTTTATCCTTCCTGGGACCCCTGACAAACCGAACAAGCTAGTCATCAACGACAAAGACATTGAATTATCTAAAGTCCGCCTTTCGCGCGCAGGCCATACATTCCAGGGAAAGTGGTCGTTGCGGACTCTAGCCAATGTCCTTCGGAACTGGAAATTCTGGGCCTTGCTATTACTAGATGTTTTCTTCTGGAACGGCAGCATAAACACTTCAACAGGCGGATATCTGTTATGGTTAAAAAGCTTGAATAGATATGCAACAAGCCGTCTGAATGAACTCGGTGCCATCTCCCCCGCTCTCGGAATGTTCTATACGCTCTTCATCTGCTTTGCGTCTGATCTCGTCCTTGGGCCCGCGTGGGCAATTACTGTCGCTCATATATGGAATATTATCGGCCTGATCATTCTTGTCATCTGGAATGTACCGGAGTCTGCACTTTGGTTCGCCTTCATAACAACATATTCTGCGGTGTCCATGTCCAGTGTTCTTTATGGTTGGGTGAACGAACAACTGCGATATTCGCCGGTCGAACGCTCCATAACCCTGGTCATTCTCAACACCATTGCCCAGTCGACTACGGCCTGGACACCTCTGTTGGTATTCAAAACTGTTGAAGGGCCACGCTTTACCAAGGGATATTCCTTTGTCCTTGCGAACGCAATATGCTTGATTGCTTTGGCTCACATCATCAAATACTTTATCGCCCGCCAAGAGTACGTATGCTCAATTATTCCCCTTACGCCAGCCTACTAACCTTCTCCAGCAAACGGGAAGCGACAAGAAATATCGCAGAGAGCGACTCAGACGAAACTCATGATCCAGAATCAAACGCGGTCGTGACAGCTGTCGAGCCGAGTAAGCCCGACTCGGGCTAAAGTGAAATATCGTGATGCGCAATAATAACACGCTAGCATGAATCGTTTTAAAAAAAAAAAACGAGACCTGGATATCGGCCGAGTCAAGGCATCTTTAGAACTCGAAATAGATTATATAGGCTTTCCAACAAGGTCAATCATCACGCAATGGGGCCCTGAATGGTGAAATAATTCCCCACTTAAACGTCCGGACTTTCTATCCGACTGGCCTAAATCCGGAACAGTAGCTTTCAACGCTCATGTATACCCGTCGATTCAACGACAAGGGACAAATGAAAGCAAGCTGTCAAAATCCCACGGTTGCGATTTCTGCGGGGTCGATGGCGAATTGGATAAGATATGCCTGCAAGTGATTGTTGGAGTACCTTGCAAAGGTTACGCGATGCCGACGAGCTATGGCGATATGCCGCGGGGCTAAGATCACAAGCATACATTAAAAAGAGGCGAAGCCGACAAGGGGCATTATTACGGATGTTCTTATCAGCAAGTCAAATCAATATGGGTGAGGTCAATGTTACAGGCGGCCAAAATGGCGCACAGAATGGAAAGAAACAGATCATCTTGAACGCATTTGATATGTCCACCGTAGGACATCTGTCTCCTGGGCAATGGAAAGTGAGTATGAGAAAAAAAAATCAGAAGGAGTCTTGGCTTCAGCTAACGGGTATAAAGAACCCAAAAGACAAGTCAGCAACGAAGCGAAAGCTGAGCTACTGGATTGAATTGGCGAAGCTGCTGGAGCGCGGAGGCATCAATGCCTTGTTCCTGGCCGATACCTATGGTGGTTATGATACATACGAAGGGAAGCTGGACGAGTGTATTCGACGGGCAGCCCAATGGCCTGTCACAGATCCGACAATCGTATGTTATATCCCTCGTGCCCTAAGTTAGTGTACTGTGCACAGCCTGACAGAAGATCAGCCTATCTCAGCAATGGCAGCTGTCACCAAGAACCTTGCGTTCGCAATCACGGCGTCAACATCTTTCGAGCCACCTTTCCTTCTCGCAAAGCGATTTTCAACCCTGGACCATCTAACAGATGGTCGATTTGGATGGAACATCGTGACGTCGTGGAAGAAGGCTGCTTTCAAGGCCATCGGTCTGGACACTCCAATTGAGCACGACGAGCGGTACCTTCAGGCAGATGAATACCTTCGTGTGCTGTATAAGTATGAAATACAACCCACTCCTTCTAAGCTGCTGGGTTTTTGCTAATTGTTAATGGCAGGCTCTGGGAAGGCTCATGGGCACCAGACGCTCTTTCGCCAAACCCCGAGGCGGATTCATACGTTGATCCTGACAAGGTCCGCCAGATCAACCACAAGGGGAAGTACTTCTCTGTCAACTCCCGCCACATTGTCGACCCGTCGCCACAACGAACACCCTTCCTGTTCCAGGCAGGCACATCTCCAGCAGGATCAACATTCGCAGCCAGTCATGCTGAAGGTATCTTCGTGTCGAGCCACTCGCCAGCTGTTCTTGCCCCCAAGGTTGCCGCGATCCGCAAGAAAGCCGCAGACCATGGTCGGGATCCGCAATCGATCAAGTTCTTCTCGACCTTTACCCCTATCCTGGGGCGCACCGAGGAGGAAGCAAAGGCAAAGTACGAGGAGTTGAAGAAGCATGCCTCTGTCATTGGAGGACTGGTCTTGTTCAGCGGATGGACAGGCATTGACATCTCCCGTATACCGCTAGACCAGGATATCACGGCAGCCGATTCACTCGAGGCCAACAAGGTCACCAGTATGCTCGACAGCTTTACCACGACAAGTGAGGATGTCCCGCGGTGGACTCCCCGTGTTGTCGCAGAGAAAGCTGCCATCGGCGGCTTGGGACCCGTTGGTATCGGGACACCTGAGAAGGTAGCAGATGAAATGGAACGCTGGATTCGGGAAGCGGACTTGGATGGTTTTAATATCGGTTATGTCACCACGCCGGGAACCTTTGAGGACGTCGTGGACCTTCTGGTGCCAGAACTTCGTCGACGAGGCATCTATCCGGAGGCAACAGAGGAGGGGTTAACGGCGCGCGAGAAGGTGTATGGGAAGGGTCAAACCGGACTGAGATCTGATCATACGGGCAGTCAGTACAAGTACGGCGTGTACCAGGAAGAGGCGCCGTACGAGGGCAAATGATTTTGTTGAGTGCCGTCACAATCACATAGTCAGGCGCTTCATCAGCGGTTGATACTGAACCTCGTTCATTCCCCCTTCCCCTTTCACCGACCATAGTTCTTCCAGGGGGGTATAGACCGGAGAACCATACAATATATCCGTAACAATATGGCATCCCAACATGTTCTTAATCCCAATAATAAAGTGCAAACGCTCTCCTGATCGCCGCATAGATCACGGTCCATAAGCAGTTTATTATATCATGGCTATGGTCCGCTCAGGTTATGGTACGTACAAACGCCCTCCTATACTGACGTGATCCACGTCCACAGTGGACTCCTGCTTGTTGCAGTCAAGTCGATTCCAGTTTTGACTGGTGCCTATCTCTGACGTGACAACGTCCTTGTTTTCTAATGAACGTGGAGCGTTCGCAATACTTTAGGGGACAGAATGGCCCAAAAGTACTATTATTGATTTTCAAGTTCCGGTTCAATATCGACCTCATTGTCGGTTTAGGACTTGAGGTGCTCCTTTACTCCGAACCCCCGGGCCACTCTGTTCCCGCTCCCACTGCCGGACACTTTCCGCCATGCCGCGCACTGCAAGTTCCACAGACCCCTTTTATCTTTCTGGAGAGAATAAGTAATAATATGCAATCAGAGGGCAGAAAACGAGAGGACAACGAAACTCCATAATAATAGTTACTCGCGGTTTCAAACCCCATTCAGCCCAGCCGAGTTTCTTGGCCACACTGGAAGCCAATGCCGTCCGCCCGAGAAAAGCAGACGGAACCATCTCCCGGAACCGCGAGATTGAGAACGAGTCAACAACGAGGGCAGGGTCGGATTAGCCATGTCTACGGAGTAGACTGCGTTTGTTTTTTTCTTCCTCGGAGCCCAGGAACGAATGACTTTCAGGTTAGCACGGCGCCACCGAAGTTAATTCATGTCCGATCTTGTGGACCGTAGATGCCCTTTTACAGCAATCTGGTGTATGTAATGAGGATGAACATGATCGGCACTGCTGCAGAGCTTGCGCTTTCCAATTGCCCGCCGCACATCGTCATGGAGGTCCAGGCCGACTCCCTCTCTTACTCCATTTGGCTCGTGGAGGTCAACACGGCATCTCAGGGATAAAGCACCAGAGCGAGTCAGCAGTCTGCGTTTACTATGCAGGTCTCCACTGCTAGACCCCTTATCCCGCGAGCGTAGCCCTACGGTGCACATACACTGTGCAGTGCACATGTACGGTATACTCCGGCACTCAGGGGATTACGCACCGTTCTTTCGCCGCTCAATTTTTGTTTTGACTCTTCCTTTGTTGGGTAGCTGTCCGGTATCCAGTATTCGGTGCTTAGCTCGAGCCTTACAGGTACGTCTGAACAGGCACGTCTTACCGGTTCAGTCGAAGAGCTATCGGAAAATTCGACTGTGATCTACAAACCTCAATGCCAATTAATCATACTGCGGATATGTTCATTTTGGCGGCGGCCTTGCCAAGTTCCCATTCTCCGGCGGCACCTCCTCCGAACACTGCCGGCAATCCACTATGGATCCTCCTTTCGCAAGATATACTTTCGAGAGTGTGCTCTAGTCCCATTCAGGAGAACTGTCTGGGACCTGATGTGCAGTGCACAACTCTTGATTCGTGGGTATGCGTCGATCTACACTCTGTTCCGACGATATGCTTTCCGTTCAGCTTGAAATTAAAGCCTCCTCCCTCACCGACCCCGACCGAAGACCTCCGGGCAGTGGACTCGCTGACTTGACCACTTGAGAGTTCGGTGGTGTTTCCATCGAAAGAGAACAACGCTGATCTCAATACCGATGCATCGTCCAGCGGGCTGCAGGGTGGGCGTTGTTCATGCACTTCGGACGTTTGCGAGCGTCACTCCGTCTCCCGATATTCAGTATTATCATCGTTCACTATATTGAAGTATAAGGTAGTAGTGGTCTGTCTGTCTATCTGGTAGGCTTCAAGAAGTCTGTATAGAGCCGCAAGTAGCTGAGGGGCCTTGGGTATCCCGGTGCACCGTTCGATATCACTACTGCCTGTCCTCCCCGAGTAGTAATCGAGACAAATACAAATACGAGCCGGGTCCAATTGTTAAACCTTCAGCCCTTTCACGTCCAGTAATACTACGTAGTGTTATTTGCCGCTATCCACAGCCTAGATCGTGCCTGAGTCGTGCTCCAGTTCCACGGAACTTCATGAGCTTAGTTGGAAAACCATCTCCGGCCCAGTCTCCAGCGGTTGATGGGTCAAGTAATCTAGCTTTTACAAGTGATGTGCAGTGATCATCATGGGAAAGATGCCGGGAACCCCTATGTGCGGCGGCATATAAGAGAGAAGAACTTTCCGTGAGAGGGAGATACATCTTGTCTTCCTACCTGCCACACACAAGTCAGTCATTCTCTCGTTATCTGTTTCCAACTTTAGTCACTCTCTTACCATCAACCAGTTACATTCTTGTACAACCCTCACCATGAAGGCCTCTCTCATCACTGCCCTCGCGGCCATGACCGCCTCAGTCGCAGCTGCTCCTGCTAAGACCGAGACCTGGTCCACTGAGTTCGACCTCGGAACCGTTACTGCTACTGCTACTGCTACTGCTACCACGTCTACCTCCACCCTCGCTCCTTCTGCGACCTCTTCTATTGTCGAGGCCCTTAACAACAAGGCTGATGGTGGGCTGGGTCAGGGAAGTGGACACATCGTCCAGGATGCCGGCCACGAGCTTGATGGTATCTTGACCATCACTGGCCCTAACGCCCAGAAGCTCCTGATCAAGCTCGCCCCTGAGGTTGCAGGCCTTCTCTCCTCCCTTGGTCTCCCTCCTCTTGGAACTGCTGTCGGTTCCGTCGTCGCCAGCGCCAGCTCCATTGGTGAGCTTGTTACCGGCCTCGGCCCCAACGTTGACGGTCTGTTGACCGCTGTTGGTGCGGGCGGTGACTACCTTCTCATCCAACTCTCCCCTGTTGTCGCTGGTCTTCTTTCTGGCCTCGGTCTTCCCGGTGTCGGTGTTCCCGTTGGCACTGCTCTTGTGACCGTTGGCAACAACTTGAAGCGTGACATTCTTGGAGACATCATCCCCAACATCAGGAACCTCGTTGAGGTTGAGGGTGACAATGCTGAGCGTCTCCTCATTCAGCTGAGCCCTTCCGTTACTGCTCTCGTCACTGGCCTCGGTCTTCCTACTGTTGGTGCCCCTCTCGGCAAGGTTATTGACGATGCCGCGGACGTCGGCAAGCTGGTCAACCACGTTGGTGCCCCCGTTGAGGAGCTTCTCACCGTTGTCCGTAAGGATGGCAAGGCCCTCCTCATCCGCCTCTCTCCTGACGTTGCTGCCACCGTTGCCGGTCTCGGCCTCACTGGTGTCGGTGCTTCCGTCGGTTCCGTCGTTGCCACCCTCGGCAACGAGCTTTAAAGGAGCTGTAAGTAAAGGTCAAGAAGGAGCTTGCGACAATTTGCTAACGCTTATATTGTTCGTTCAGCACCCAATACCTCTTCTTAAACGCCAATTATTATTTTTGCCGAATTCAAGGTTTTTAGCGGTGGCGGGTTAACGACGCATATTAAACCGTTTCTGTGACTTGGAGTGCCGTACATGGCTGTTTCTTCTTGTGGATAGATTAGGGACATAGCCCTTTTAATTAAAATGATGACTTGACTTGTAAACCTATTCTTAAACCTATTCTCCCATGAGCTTTATTAGTCTTGAGTCCCGATCCGGTTCTGTTGAGCAGTGATGGCACGTACCTCTTGAGTCTAGGCCCTTCAACCAGTCTAAGTGGAAACCATTAATCTACCTTCACGACGCAGGCAATAGTAGAAATTTCCCCAATCAAGTTTTGGTGTGGGCAATTATCACCCACCTTGTCCCAGTCGATGAGCGCGATAATTCCCGTAGTTGCTAAGATGCAGACGGGAGAGAACGTTGTGGAGGGGGAACGGCGAAGTGTGGTGATGTCACCCGCGATATCGAGGACACGGACCCCCCCGCATCAAGGCAACGCTCCCCTCCAGGAACAGAGCTCTGAACCACTTCTTTCCCCTGTCCGGTTCACCTCTTTGCATTTTCTGTCGACCCTTTGATAAACAGTTTCACCGTCCTGATCATCTTTCTGTGGAATTTCTCACTTTCGAAGCGATTCGCGGCGCCGATAACAAGCTTAAGCTAGCTTATCTTGCTGCTATGGCTTCCTCCAGCGGGCCCTCAGCTCCATCGGATGGCACCGGTGGGTCAGCGAATTCTCATTATTTGCTCAATGCCATTCTGACATCTAGTACAGGTATCATAGACCTTGACCCGTGGCTGGAGCCCTTCCGGGAAGCTATTCAGCGTCGATTCAACTACGTTGAGAGCTGGGTTAAGACCGTCAACGAGGTCGAAGGGGGACTGGAGAAATTCAGCAAGGTACGTGCAAAAAAGCACTCACAATTCCAATGATCCAGTGTTGTTCTTTCCAATAGGCCACAGTCAGTCAGCTAATTGAATTGTATCGCGAATCCAACAGGGCTACGAGAAGTTCGGATTCAATGTCAGCGATAACGGCGACATTATCTACAGAGAATGGGCTCCAAGCGCCGTGGAAGCGTCTCTGGTGGGTGAATTCAGTATGTCCAGCCTTGTGGAATAATTAGCCAGTTGGTCGCGTTACTGAGACTGGCAGATAATTGGGATACGAAAGCGGATCCGATGACGAAAGACGACTTTGGTGTTTGGGGGATTACTCTTCCAGCAAAGGAGGGTGTTCCAGTTATACGGCATGATAGCAAAGTGAAGGTATGCATGCTATTTACGCAGTCCCTCGCTCAGAGTCTTACGCCAAATAGATTTCGATGGTTACGCCCAGTGGAGAACGCATATATCGAATTCCTGCATGGATAAAACGTGTTGTGCAGGACTTGAACGTATCACCCGTATACGAATCCGTATTCTGGAATCCTCCAAAGGAAAAACGGTACAATTTTCAGCATACTCGTCCTAAGAAGCCTGAAAGTCTACGTATCTACGAGGCCCATGTAGGCATCTCGTCCCCTGAAAATAAGGTAGCAACGTACAAGGAGTTCACGGCCAATATGCTTCCCCGGATCAAGTACCTTGGGTATAACGCAATCCAGCTCATGGCCGTCATGGAACACGCCTACTATGCCAGTTTTGGGTACCAAGTCAACAACTTCTTTGCGGCGAGTAGCCGCTACGGTAACCCAGAAGATCTGAAGGAATTGGTCGACGCGGCGCATAGCTTGGGACTGGTGGTACTTCTTGACGTTGTGCACAGTCATGCCTCGAAAAACGTTGATGACGGATTAAATATGTTTGATGGTAGTGACCATCTCTATTTCCATTCTGGGTCGAAAGGCCAGCACGGATTATGGGACAGTCGACTATTCAACTATGGAAGCCACGAGGTATTGCGTTTCCTCCTAAGCAACCTTCGCTTCTGGATGGAAGAATATGGCTTTGACGGCTTCCGCTTCGATGGAGTCACCAGCATGCTATATACCCATCACGGTATTGGAACGTGGGTTTTTCTTAGAACATGAGATGCTTGTGACGATTACTAACCAGGGTGTAGTGGTTTTTCTGGTGGATATCATGAGTACTTTGGTCCATCAGTCGACGACGATGGCGTAATGTACTTGGCTCTAGCAAACGAAATGCTGCACCGCCTCTACCCAGATTGTATAACCGTGGCGGAAGATGTCTCCGGTATGCCAGCACTATGCCTTCCACACAGCCTAGGTGGAATCGGGTTCGACTACCGTCTCGCCATGGCCATTCCAGATATGTACATTAAGCTTCTCAAGGAGAAGTCTGACAACGAATGGGACATTGGTAATCTCGCCTTCACCTTGACGAACAGACGCCATGGCGAGAAGACTATCGCTTACGCAGAAAGCCACGACCAGGCGTAAGTTATTACCCGAAATTCTCATCCAAGGAATATCAATACTAACTACCCTTCTCAGTCTCGTCGGCGACAAATCCCTCATGATGTGGCTCTGCGACAAAGAAATGTACACCCACATGTCCGTCCTCACAGATTTCACCCCCATCATCGAACGCGGCATGGCTCTCCACAAGATGATCCGCCTCGTCACTCACACCCTCGGCGGCGAAGGCTATCTCAACTTCGAAGGGAACGAGTTCGGACACCCCGAATGGCTTGACTTCCCACGTGCCGGCAATAACAACTCCTTCTGGTACGCCCGTCGCCAGCTCAATCTAACGGAAGACAATCTCCTACGCTATAAATTCCTCAACGAGTTCGACCGGGCCATGCAGCTCACTGAAGCCAAGTACGGCTGGCTACACTCCTCGCAAGCATATATCAGCCTCAAAAACGAGGCCGACAAGGTCCTTGTCTTTGAGCGAGCGGGTCTTCTCTGGGTCTTCAACTTCCATCCAACAGACAGCTTCACAGATTATCGAGTGGGTGTTGAAACTGCGGGGACTTATCGGGTTGTTCTTGATACCGACGATAAGCAGTTTGGTGGCCTAGGGAGGAATGACAAGTCGACGAGGTTCTTTACAACCGATATGGAGTGGAACGGGAGGAAGAACTTCTTGCAGGTTTATATCCCGACTCGGACGGCGTTGGTAAGTTGATCGATCCCCTTCTTTTTAAAAATCGTTTGGATACGTCCAATATCTTCTGTTCTCTCTCTATGTCTCTGTGGAAAGACAAAATACTAATCGCTCTATCAATTGTGCGTGTTGTAGGCCCTCGCTTTGGAAGAAACCATATAATGACATCTGAATCCCCATTCACAAGTTGGCTATAGAAGACGCCGGCCATCCGTGAATTTTTACGTCGAAGCGAATGATATATTCAACACATCATACATTAAGTCATTGCCTATCTTGTCACGCGATTATGATGATCTAATATGTTTCCTGGATCCATGTATAATTTTCATACACATAGTGACTAAGTCGTGTTGTCGGTTTATCTTGGAATCAACTGCGTATATATCAAAGAGAATAAATACGGCAATTCATATGTGAAGTAAATCGTAAATTCCACCTATTAGGTACAAGTCAACTTCCCGAAGGTTGGTTACAAAACAGCGAGTTATACGGTATATATATACACTTTCTCTTCTTGACCTGACGAATTTGGATATCACATTCAAGACTAGGTATATTACATTAAGCACTACAGCTACAAGCACAATGACTACGAAAGAGAGCAGATATAAGAATAAACCGTGTTTTCCAATCCAACAAAAGAAATGATACATGTTTGTCCCTGCCCGAGGGTATAAGGCCGGGTGTGGTCATTTAAATTTACTTACATGAGCACAATATATTGTCACACAAGTCTATAGATGTTTTCCATCCAAGACTTCAAAGGGGGAAATTGGGTGAGTGCTCTTTTCCCTTTTAGAAGTAGAGAGGATGGCCTTTCTTTTTCAACTTCCTTCTTCTCAATTCGAGTACTGTACACGCATCGACGGAAAATGGAACAATGAGAAAAGGAAGTCCATGTCTAACAAAAAGGAAAAAGAGCGCTTCAAAGCAATATTACATTTAGGCATTGTTGGAGAGTTCAGCCAAGATCTTCTCACCCTTAGCACGAGCGGAGGCCAAGTCACCAACCATGTAGAAGGCAGCTAGAAACAGAATTAGCACCAAGTATATTGAACTGTTATGGGGGGAGAAGAATATAACTTACCCTCAGGGAGGTCATCACCCTCACCGGCCATGATAGCCTTGAAGCTGTTGATGGTGTCCTTCAGGTCAACGAGCTTACCCTCGATACCAGTGAAGACCTGGGCGACGGTGAAAGGCTGACTGAGGAAACGCTCAAGCTTACGAGCACGCTCGACAGTAAGCTTGTCAGCCTCAGACAGTTCGTCCATACCAAGAATGGCAATGATATCCTGGAGAGACTTGTACTCCTGGAGCATCTGCTGGACGCGGGTGGCGGTGTTGTAGTGCTCTTCACCGACAATACGGGGGTCGAGCATACGAGACTTGGAGTCAAGAGGGTCGACAGCAGGGTAGATACCCAACTCAGAGATACCACGGGACAAGACAGTGGTGGCGTCCAAGTGAGCGAAGGTGGTGGCGGGGGCAGGATCAGTCAGATCGTCAGCGGGCACGTAGACGGCCTGGACGGAGGTAATGGAACCCTTGGTGGTGGTGGTAATACGCTCCTGCATACCACCCATGTCGACGGCCAGAGTGGGCTGGTAACCGACGGCAGAGGGGATACGACCAAGAAGGGCAGACACCTCGGAACCGGCCTGGGTGAAACGGAAAATGTTGTCAATGAAGAGCAGCACGTCCTGACCCTCGTCGTCACGGAAGTATTCGGCGATGGTCAGACCAGTAAGGGCGACACGGGCGCGAGCACCTGGGGGCTCGTTCATCTGACCGAACACAAGCGACACCTTGGATTCACCATCGAGCTGAATGACACCAGTCTCCTGCATTTCGTGGTACAGATCGTTACCCTCACGGGTACGCTCACCGACACCACAGAAGACGGAGTAACCACCGTGAGCCTTGGCGATGTTGTTCTACAAGGAATCATGTTAGAAAATTTGTTGCCTTTTCTTTTTGTGTGTTCAAGAAGAGAAACTTACAATCAGCTCCTGAATGAACACAGTCTTTCCCACACCGGCACCACCGAAGAGACCAATCTTACCACCACGGGCGTAGGGGGCAAGAAGGTCGACAACCTTGATACCAGTGACGAGAATCTCAGCAGAGGTAGACTGCTCAATGAACTCGGGAGCCTCAGCGTGGATAGGAGAGTACTTGGCGGCCTTGACGGGACCACGCTCGTCAATGGGGTCACCAGTGACGTTGACGATACGGCCAAGGGTACCAGGACCGACGGGGATGGTGATGGGAGCACCGGTGTCACGGGCGGCAGCACCACGGGTAAGACCCTCGGTACCTAAGAACGGAGATATCAATATTTTGCTCCAGGCTTGTTGGGGGAGGCCAGGGGCGACGTGTTCACGCCCATAGCCGGAAGGAACAGCGACTTACCATCCATAGCAATAGCACGGACGACATTCTCACCCAAGTGTTGCTATGAATTGTTAGCTACAAGAACTTGATGTCATCAATCGAGATTTTGATATCAGGAATACATACAGAAACCTCGAGAACAAGCTTCTGACCGTTGTTCTCGGTCTCGATGGCGTTGAGAATGGCGGGAAGCTTCTCGCCCTCGAACTTCACTGTAGTCGCAGGTCAGATATCGTGTTCTTGTACAATTATAAAGTTGTTGTTGATGGATGTCGCGATGAAATCGAAGGTAGAAAAGATTTTCGCGCAGCCGCCAACGGGGATGACTAGGGCGGAATCGAGGAACATACCGTCGACGACGGCACCAATGACCTGGTGAATCTTTCCACCAGCAGCAGTCTCGGTGCTGGCGAACCTAGCGAGGGAAGGAAAGCCATTGAGCTTGGAGGGCTGGAGGGAACGGCGTGCGACGGAGGCAGGTCGAGCAAAAGCAGCCCTCCCGAAGGTCCGGGCCAGACCGCTGTTAGAAAGGAAAAAACACGGGTCAGCGCGAGAGAAAATAATAATAATAATTGAGAAGGGGAGTGACAAACCTCTTGAACATGGTGATGGTGTTGAAGAGCGAAAAGGGTATAGGATGGGGACAGGTGAGAAGATGGAAGAGGAAGAGAGGAGAGGAAAGGGAAGAGTTGAGGTGAGGTTGGAACTTGGGACACGAATGTGGCCGGCTTAGCCTTTACGGGGCTTGTGCCGACCGGTCCCGTGATCTTCCGTACCGGAGCAACGAGGCACAGGGCAGGCCAAACGAGCAAAAGTTATGGACGAGCTAATCTCTATAATTATTGAGCTTACTTTAAACTACAGGCCAAATAAATAATTCTATATTTTCTATCCTGAAGCTCGAGTCCATCTCTGGTGCTGTCGAGGCTCCCGAGCTTGCCCGTCCGGTTGTTACGGGAACTCAAAATGAGGAGGTTTAGGTCTTGGCAACCGGATGCAAGGAAGACGAACTGATCCCCCGGTGAGCTGCACCAACAGCGCGTTGAAGAGTCTCGTCATACCCATGAATTGCCGAATGGTGCATCAAGTCTCGCGAGAAAAAATATCACAGTAATTTTTACTCATTCTAGTCAGCCATATTGGTGTCTCGCACCTCCGAAACAAACCCTGTGGACAGCTTTACTCGGCTCTAACCCGTTACGGATCTGGAATGACAGTCCCGAAAATTTTCATCCTGTTTTGGGAAGCCCCTGTTGTTGGCAATAATATGGAGTACACCGAGCAGGGAAGCCCAGAACTATCTGCAAAAATAAATAAACTGTTTTAAAAGCAGTGGTTCTTCGAAATACGTATTTCAGCCCTCCATTGGCAGGAGCGAAATATAACCTCGGTCGTGGGTTGATTAAGCTATGTTGTCATGCAGACCTTGCCAGTTCCGAACCACTTACGTAGCAGTTCCAGGGAGGACAGCCAGCAGCTCATCAGCTGTATACACGCCATCCCCCATCGCGTAAATCTCCTATATGGACAGGATCTTTAGGCTTGAACAGATCTGCGGTTTTTAGCAGAGTCTAGTTGTAAGAGAAAGTAGACCAAAAGCCAAACGAAAGCGAGACGAAACATGTTCTATGACTACAAAGGAGATACATTGATTATGGCACAGTACGAGATACACAGGTCTTTTTCGGCCGAAGTTGACAAAACAAGTGAGACACAGGCGAATAATCGTGCCCACGAACAATGGGCTCACGGCCAGCATTGCCAGAGAGTGGTGGGTGATAGGCGCTCGGCTCCATCGCGTCCTATCGAGTATGTCCAGTAGCGATACCTGACTCTCCCAAAATTCTATACGTCAATTTATGACTTCTCAAGGGGAGGGCTCTGAACGAATCCCTTGCCCTCGTAGCCCTCGCTGCTGATACCGTAAAGGGGGTTCATCTTCTCGCGCTGTTATAAGAGAAAAAGAAACCGTCAGTAACAAACTCAAATCGGTCGCGAAAATAACACAAAGAAAGATAACCGAGGTAGGGATATTCAATGCGGGAACATACCAGAGCGTATTCGTTGGAAGCCTCCTGCCATTCCTTGCTCATGGTCTTAGGCTGGGGCTTAGCGAAGGCGTGGACGAGGTAGAAGACGCCGACAGACACAGCGCAGAGCTGAGCGACCTTGATGAAGATCTTGAGACCCTCACCCTTGGGGGGTTGAGAACGGGGTCCGTGAGGTCCGAAAGCGATCCAGTAGGCTAGCAAAGTAATATATGTCAGGCAAAATTCTTATATAACCATTGGGCAACACGATATGTTATGAGGGAATACATACCAGCCTTCTTCTCCTGGATGGTCATCTGGTGCCAGTCAACCTTCATGCGGTCCCGGAGCTGCATCCACAGGTCGGCCTGCTCCTGGGGGGGCAGAGCCTCCCAGCGCTTCTCGATACCGGCGAGTGTGGGATTGGCAATGGCGTGCTCGGAGGCGGCGCGGGTCTGCTGGGGAGCGATAGACTTCTTCTCAGCCTGAGGACGGGCATTGAGGCAAGCCATAGGGCTTGAAACAGTGCGGTAGGAACGAATGGCAGACATCGGCATGGCCGAGCTACGAGCAGCAGCCCGAGAAATGGAGGGAGCGAACATTGTGCGAGGGGCCAGAGGGCCAACTAAAAATCAATCGATAATGAAAAGTACTCTCGAATAAGCGAGAGAAGCAATGCCTCAGGACCGAGGAGAATTGATGCGGGAGGGACGAGGGGAGGTTGTGATCGAA